AAGAAATTTAGGTTACTGCAAATAAGCAGCATACATACCTACATACATCTGTATCATTAGTAGGTTCAGTTGTAAAAAGAACTGTGAAATATTCTGCAACCGAAGAGAAACACACAGAAGTCAAGGTGTTTGTAACGCACAGAATACAATTTTCGAGCCAACTTGTCTCTCACTGTATGATAATGACTTACAAAATTTATTCATTAAATCAATAAGTCTAAGATTTCTGTAAATATTATTCACTTTTCTTTTTAAGTGTAATCTGTTTCCCCGCTAGCTAGCATTAAGTCCTCTTATAACGGTTGAAGACAAGAGACCTAGTAACAAAAACTTTATTTGGAACTTTGTATCTCTGTGTAGGGAAATTATACACACCTTTTCTGAAAATCGTAATTTGCACAGGTCTTCGGTCTAGTGCTACTTCTGCCCTTTCATATTGCGTTTCTCTGTCTTCTTTTCGTGTCTTTCATATTTCGCTGCAACACTGGTTCATTTGCTGTCTATGACGTTAAATCTATCCGCAGTTTGATATATTTATCTGTCTGGATTCAACATAGAACTTGGCACCGAAGTGCCGCAGTTCGAGTTGCCACGTTCCAAATAGCACACAGAGGTAGACAAGAAGATGAGTGAAAAGAATCAGTGTGATATCTTTATACTGATGAGCGTCTCTTTATACACTACTGATAAATCTTACAAGTAGCACACGTCACACTATGTTTATTAATGAAATATATATGGTTATTTTATGTGTGTATACATTAAATTTGTCAAACGAAAATACAGTTAGTAAGTTCAGGTGAATTGGATGTTAATATAAGAGGATAGTAACAAAAATGATGAGTTGTCATAAACGATTGTTAAATAAGAGTTACGTGATGGCATGAATAGTTTGATGAAAGAGTTGTGCTCAGGGTGTACATGGAAACAAAATAATATACAGAATTACTCAAGGGTTTTAAGTTAGAAAAATAAGCATACAAACAGAAGTAAGGTCAAATCAAACAAATAAACAAAAGTTAAGTCAAATCAACGGAGTTGTTACCATGAGAGTAGAAGTGGTTGAATAATTTTCTTTTGTATGCACAGTTCTGGTTCCTCCAACTGAATGGCTAGGGCTTCTGCGATGCAAAGAAGACGGAATCGTACTGTCTTTGGAAGGTTGTTCTTCACTTTGTAGATTACTTTGAAGGAGGCGTTTGTTGAGATGGAATGACCAGTGTTGACGAGATGTTCGATTATTGCACTCCTTATACGGCCATTACTTCCTTTCTGCAGCCACGCTGGATAGTGTTCTTTGACCCTTTTTGACAGGATGCGCGTTGAACGACCGATGTACCTGGCTCCACAGCAACAGGTGAACTGATATATACACGTAGAAGTGGTCATGTGCGGAATCTTGTCCTTTGGGCTTCTGCAGATCAGCGGGCGACTGGAGAACACTGCTCTTAATGTTGCCGCAGGGAAAGTTCTTCCTAAAGAGGTGGAAATTCTCCTTCTGAGGACGTCACTAAGTAGGTCTCCTTTGAAGTCCAGGTTCATATAAAGTATCTTTTTAGGCACGGATGGTGTCTTTTGCTTTTGGATTTTTTGTTTGATGTTTTTGTCTACGAATCTTGATGGGTAGCCATTTTGTATGAAGATTTCTTTCAGGAAGTTTAGTTCTTCTTCCATGGTGTCAGAGCTGCAGATGCGTCTGACGCGAGTGGCAAGGGATTTAATTAGGTTTCTTTTCCGACTGATTGGTACCCAGCTGTAGAAGCCTGTCAATTGGCCGTTCCATGTGGGTTTCCTATGGATGGACCTTCTTAAAGTTCCGTCAGCTCTCCTTGTAAGCTCAACATCAAGAAAAGGGATTTTAGATTCGTTTTCAATTTCTAGAGTGAACTTTGTGGCTGGATGGCATTTGTTGAATATTTGCAGTAATTGATTGAGATCGTGACTGTCATCACATATGATAAAGATATCGTCCACATATCTAACATACAATTGGAAATTGTCAATGGTTGATTTGAGTGGGCCGTTGTCGAGGCTTGCTATTAAGCAGTCTGCTAGTAATGGGCCCATTGGAGATCCCATTGCGATCCCATCTTGTTGTCTGTAAATAGCCTTATTGAATGTGAATTGTACATTGACTGTACATCTCAGTAGTAGTTCTTTTAAACAAGTCGTCGGTAATCCGATGTTTAGCTGATTTTCGTCGATATAATGACAAATGTAAGAGACGGTTTCTGTGAGTGGAACGTTGGTAAATAGTGATTCAATGTCGAGAGAGAGCATAGTTTTGTTCTTTGCATTGATATCTTTAATGTAATCGACGAATTGGAAAGTGTCACGAAGCGAATAGTGGCATATTCGTTTTCGTACAGGTTCTAAAATGTCAGCGAGCCATTTCGCTTTGAATGGTACGGGGAATCTGACATATCCAGAATTGGACGAAGTGGGAGGTTGGCTTTATGTATCTTTGGTAAGCCATATAGTCTTGGTATTGTTGATCCTGTCGGTCGGATCTGATCATAGACTTCATGAGTGATTAACTTTTGGGTTTCCATTCTTTTAAGGACATCGGTGAGTTGTTTTTCAATCTGTTCTGTTTTGTTTCTTTCGTTGGGTAGTTGCGAAAATTTCGTTTTATCTAACAAGATGTTGTTCATTTTCTCAATATAGTCTTTCTTGTCCATAAGGACTATACCAGCTCCTTTATCTGGACGAGTTATTAGAAGTTCTTTGTTTTGTTTCAGTTGATTTAATTCTCTATGTTGCCTTGTCAGTTGGTTGTATACTTTTGGTTTTGTATTAAGATACTGATGTGGTGAGAGCAGGCTGCTAGCCGATTGTTTGGCACTAATCTACGTTAAGGTCTAGGTCACTAATATGGGCCGTGAACAAGGCTGAGTCAACAACCAATCACAGCGAAGTTAACGTGGCAAAATATGATTCGCAGATAGAGAACTCTGTTTGTCAAGGAATCCCGAAACAACCAATCAGAAGCCTGCGTTTGTCTACCTAAACAACCAATCAGATGACTGCGCTTGTCTATAATAATGTTGTCTGAAATATGTATAAATACGTGTTGATTTTCATAATAAAACGATCTGTTGCCTGGCCCTTGTCTTCTGTTGTTACATTTGGTGTCGCTGCCTACCGACAAATGAAAAGCCTATACCCTGCAGTTTTTGATGGAGACATATGGATCTTCGGGCAGGACTTCAAGGCTTCTGCGCAGTTGAGTGGCGTTCAAGATCTGTCAGCGATGGAGCTGCTACTTGAGACGCTGCTGGGAGGTCGGGCGAAAGCAGCATATGAAGGTGTGGGCCGAAGTATGGACGAATGTTCGACAGGGTCAGGCAAACAGTTTCCAAAGTGGGAAGGACCATATATGGTCACTTCGAGATGGGGTTACGCAGACACAGTCGCAATGGCGAACAATGAGAGGCGCGTGAACGTCAGCGAGCTCCAGAAATGGATACAGCGAGACAAGCCAACGATGACGCCTGCACCAAGTAGATCAAGCCGACTTCAGTCGCACGTATTTGACGGGGGGACGAGTGTGGTGAGAGCAGGCTGCTAGCCGATTGTTTGGCACTAATCTACGTTAAGGTCTAGGTCACTAATATGGGCCGTGAACAAGGCTGAGTCAACAACCAATCACAGCGAAGTTAACGTGGCAAAATATGATTCGCAGATAGAGAACTCTGTTTGTCAAGGAATCCCGAAACAACCAATCAGAAGCCTGCGTTTGTCTACCTAAACAACCAATCAGATGACTGCGCTTGTCTATAATAATGTTGTCTGAAATATGTATAAATACGTGTTGATTTTCATAATAAAACGATCTGTTGCCTGGCCCTTGTCTTCTGTTGTTACACTGATAACAGCTATCGATTATTGTTGATTTGAATCACTTCATTTCTTGTTCTGAGGTTGGGGTTAGATAATTTGTTTGGGTGATTAGTTTTTCGAATTGTACATGGGTATGGAGTCTGTTGGCGTTTAAGCTGACGTCGCAGAATTTTGGGCCCATGGAATAGGGCTTCTAACTGCAGGTTGGATAAAACTACTGAAGAGTAGTTAAATACGAATTTTGAAGGGTCTTCAGGAAACTGTTTGTGTGCTTTGATGGATTTGAGTCTTTTGGTGAGTCGGGAAATAGTAGATTGTGCTCGTTTTTCAGTGACTGTATTGACGTATTAATGAAATACATTTCTCAGTGGTTATATTTTCGTCCCAGTCGTGTATAACTCATGTGTACAATTCACCTTGATTAGAGAAGAATTGAGTGCCTGAATCTAGTACAATGTATGTTCATAATACGCCAACCAATCATATCATCCACTTTGTGTATTGATTATTTTGTTAGGGTCTTAGTCATTACAGTCTTTTTTTTAAAAAAAAATTTTGTCATGTTCCTGTTTAATGTTATACCGTTGTGTTTTTCGAATAAACGAAACCTTTTCATACATGTTATCGTCTCTCTTGTCCGTATAAAAGCAGTTGTCTGACTGCCTACAGCATTTTTTGATAATCGTAATCATTTAATATTAAGGTATATATGGTTAGTCATTACACTTAATTTATGTGTGTGTGTGTGTGTGCGTGTGTTTGTGGAAGATGATGAGTTAGGCACGGACGTATATTTCACCTAGTAGATAAAATTCATGTCTGGATGTGGTGGCCAAGTGATTATATTGTTGATTAGTAGTCATTGTCCATCGGATTACAGAATTCATTTAGTATTCAATAGGTTATTTGTTGTAAATCCATGGTGAAATTTCAATGCACTTTCTTCAGAATAATCGGAAATATTCACTTCATGATGTATGATTCTCTTGACAACATAAACGATATATATATATATATATATATATATATATATATATATCGTTCTTTTTTAGCTATTATGATATTGTACATCAAAAGATCGTTGACTTTGTTTGGTTAACACTATCATTTTTTGTGATTACAGCATACCTTGCCTTCTTTAATTTATTCCATTTTAGTGTGGTGCAGTCGGTTATGTTTCAAGAATAATTGATGGTATTTATCCAGTGTATATAATTAAAATTGATTCAATAACCGAAGAGCCGATTAGAGATCCGAACACTGGTTTATGTATATTATGTGGAGATAACGAAGTGGGTCAATTGGTAGCACGTATCAGTTCACGTAATCCTTCTCGTATGTTCGATGGCTATGTTAGCCGTCAGGAATCAGAGAGAAAAGTTATTCGCAATGTTTTACGTAAAGGCGATATGTGGTTTGCTTCTGGTAGGTGCTTCTTTTTCGTATGAAGAAAAAAAAAGCGTTATTGTACTCTGTAAATTATTATCTACATTTTTTGTTTTGATTGTTTAATTTAGCCGGATGGATATGTTGTACATCAGAAGGGTGAATTTCAATCAGTACTTTAGACTTTGACTATATTTTATTTTACTTCTTTACGTTCCCAATGGAGCCTGGGGTTTAAAGCTAGAGTTTTGAAGTTTCGGTAGCAATTGTATTTATTTTTACGATTCCTGGCCCAACCTTCCCTCTTTTTACCAATCTTATTACTGGCTTAGCGAGGTTTTGGAGTGCGTCGGGCGGGGATTGGAACCCGAACCACATGAGGCGTGGTTGGCGAGCATTCTACCGTTGTGCCACTGGCGCACAACTTTAACTAAAATATTATGTTATTTGTATCTTCTTCAATTCTTGCGTCCCAAGCTTTTAAAGTTTCAGTCGTGGTAGTGTTGTCCATTATGCGGTGGGGTTGATATTCTTGAATTCAACCTCCCCCACCTTTTTTGGGGATTACTATCAGCTCTTAAATTCGGGCGAGGTTTACGAGTGTGCCAGTTATGTGTGTTAAGTTAATTGTTCTATAATATGCTTCAGAAGATATTTGGTGTTTCCAGAAACAATGAAAATGTCATAGTACTTGATATTCTGTAACACCTTCAGATAGTATGATTATTTAAATTACGATATATATATATATATACTTCTGTTTATTGAATTTTACTTTGTTTTCCACATGAAATAATATTTTCGTTTTTTTCTGATTCTTCTCCTATATTTCTAATTAAAGGTGATTTGATGTGCTGTGATGAGTATGGTTATATTTACTTTGTTGATCGACTGGGTGATACATATAGATGGCGTGGTGAGAATGTGTCCACAGCTGAAGTTGAACGTATTCTAGATCAAGCTGTTGGATCATTGACTGCCACTGTATACGGAGTATGCATTCCTGGGACAGAAGGTAAAGCTGGTATGGCGGCTATAGCATTAGAAGAGTCAAAACTTAGTCCTGATGAAGAGGAGAATTTAATTAGTCGAATACATAAAGAATTCACAGAACACTTACCGCCTTATGCACGTCCTATATTCTTACGGTTGTGTCAACATCTGGCAATGACTGGTAAGTTGCATTATACTTTGTGTCGCTGTTATTTAACTTCTTTTTTTTCAAATGTATATAGTGTTATCAAGGAAAGTGAATGCGAAAGAAATAGGCATAATCGATATATCAGAGTTTCGGTTATTACATAAGCGTTTTAGGCTACCACATGTTATCTCCACATTAAAGCAACCTATAACATGTGAATAATAAAATATTGCTGTCAAAATGTTAAATAATTAACCAATTGTGATCCCAAGCTTACTATGTCATCAAAGAAAACATTGCGAAATGGTCACGCTATGTCGTGAATTGGCAGAAGTTAGAATTCAAGAACCATTGGATCGGGTCCCAGTGGCTCAATGGTCTACGGGCTAGCTCGCCTTTTAACCAGAAGGTCCTGAGTTCGAACCCTGTCGGTGGGCGCGTACTGATGAAGAGTCCCAAACTGGGCTGACGAAACAGCTGTCCAGTACTCCCAGCTGGTTTTCCAATGGTTCTCTAACTGATGTCAGCTCATGATGAAATCCTCCATTCAATCAAACAAAATCCCTACAAAACCAATACTTGAAAATTAATATGTAAATGCATAAGTCTTACTGTGGTTAGCTATTCCACCCTAAAATCTCCAATTATCAGTTCAGGTTGCACTGTTAACACTAACCATTGAATCATTATATTGTTATGGTAGCTTAAAGTACGTCAAAAATAAACGTAAGGTGAGGTCCTCAATCATATAGATTTCATATACACACAGTCGTAGGTATGCGTTCATCAAAGTCCATAGTATCATTTTGTTTATGACTAAAAAATAAAACAACAAAAATTTGACCATCAGTTTCTGCCTACTTTCTGGCTCTAAAGAGTGTGTGTGTGTGTGTGTGTGTGCATATATATATATTGGCTACAGACACTTGGGGGTGGGGTTGGGGGTTGGCGGAATCGCATAAGGCTTTCCATACGTTTATTGTATTAATAATTTATGCATTAAAGTTCTGTTTGTTTTGAATAAAAAAAGTTTGTTATATACACATAAAACGAATTATTTTATATTCATCGTTTTTTCTTCTTGACAAAACAAAACAATCATGATAATGATAATATTATAATAGTTATCTATGATAAGTGGAGTTCCACTTATCAGTATGAAATTTTCTACTATGATGATGAATGTGGTGAAGTGTTTACGTCTTGCATTCACATGTTTAATTTTATGAAAATCTAGGAATTATGATTATGAAAACACTAGTAATGAATAATAATAATAATAACAACGGGAGAATAAAATAAGGTTTAAGCAACACAGTGGTGTGTTTAATGAAGAATAAGTGTATTATCAAGTAACCCGGGAGAGATTTCTCATGTATCAGGCTAAGAGCCACATTTGTTGTGTGAGGCTGATGATACACTACCCAGTTGCTCAGGCTGAAGTCAGTGGGGGTGGGATTCGAACCCGTGACCTATCGGCTGAAACTGAGTGTTTAAGCCAATAAACCACACCTCCGATGTATTATCCAGTAAATACATAGTGCCCAAGTGATCTGGATCCAAGTCTCAGGGGAACAGCACTCCTCACGAGGGGATTACACGTACATTCACTCTTGATGAGTACTAAATAAGACGAAATGCTCATCGTGGATTGAACTGCTAGTCACTATCCAACAAAAATAAAATGAATACATAGTGGTTTAAGATTTTCCATCCGAATTTTATTTGATCGACACTAGAAGGTTGTGACGAATCCGGTTTTTCATTGCAGTCTAGGATCAATCATAATTGGATATATTTATCCGCTTTTTTTCAGTCCTTAGAATACTGACTAATCTGTTTTTTTGTAACTTATTGTTAAGAAATGTCTTATATAGTTGTTTGTGAATTCTCTCCCTGTTTATGTTATATTACATCTCTTTGTGAAAGTAGAGTCTGTCTGTCTGTCTGTTTTCGACACAGAACTTTGCACCGATGTGCACCAGTTCAAGTCACCACACTCCATGTATCACACAAAGCAAGAGAAGAAAGTAGAAGAAATGCATAATAGAGACAGTAAACAGGGGTGTGAGAGACAAAGGAATAGTAATAACGAGGAACAATATAGTTTCATTGGAAATCGTAGGTCACAAGGAGTGCATGCATCTGCGCCATTGAGAACGATTTTGAGCCATATCACCAACTGTTTCCAAGCATTGGTTTTTACCGACCTGGAGACACCTTTCTACGTGGATGGCTTAAACTAACTGTTGTAGATTTCATTGACTAGTACCATGTTTTCATTTGAACACCACTAGCTCTTTTCCAGCATGACCAATCCTATGTCAGCTAACATTGCTCGACGAGGAAGGCGATGACTAGGCGTGTGTAACACATGTCCTAACCATCTCAGTTGATGTGGCTTCACAGCCTCGTCTATTGATTTCCCCTCCTTATCTAGCACTCGACGCCTAACTTCAATATTGCTCACCTTATTATACCACTCCACACGGGAGATAGAGCGCAGTCAGTAGAAAGTAGGATAGCATCTCATTGGTTTAGGACCTCTGCTTACAAGGATTGGATCACCATTTCAATCAGTGTTCCACCTACCTACGTGTTTGGGTTTGCAGACAGTGTCGTCACTCTCCGTAAAATAAGTAAAACTCACCATTAAGTGAACATATTTGTTAACATAGTGTTGTTTTTATTCCGAGTTAGTTTAATGGTGTTATTTTAACTTTCTGAACATGTGTATAATGGAAGTGTATTCGAATAAAGATAATCCATTCCTTCTTCATGCTACAATGTAAATATATCCTTTTTCCGTTAAACATTGAGGTAAGTTTCTTCATGAAACGATATCAATGCAGTGTAGGTGTTTCTTTTCAGTTTCGGATAATTCATCTATCCGAATCTATGTAACTACAGGGATCAAACCTAAGGTAGTCGAGTTCAAAGGTCAAATATATATCTGATTTGGTTGAGAACCCATTGGTGCAAGATTTACGCCTTACAACACCGTCATTTGGAGTAAAGCAGTTCTTTTGCTATTAGGGTCATCGGTAAATATTCGTCCTCATACTTGAAGTTTTGTATTCAGTCCACTGGAGACAAGTCGTCACCACATGAACTTGGGGAAATCTATTTCAAAACTAATTGCTAATGTACAGTGTTGATGTGATATATATCAATAGTACGTCACAGTTGACATGAGGAAGATTGTGACAATAGTCTACTTATCATTAGAGAGATCAAAGTGTTCTTTGTTAGAACATCGCAAGACACTATCCAAGTGTTTATCGCTATTTTATTCAGAAAAGGTATTTTCATTTCTCCACCCTAAATTACTTATTTTTTGATATCCCATTATTAATCATTGTCGTTGTTAGTCATTTTCTGTACACCCTAACAAAGAGGTGCTTACTACAGTACTTTATAGTAAAATTATGATTTGCTACTGATTTGAAGCGACATTCTCCTATAAAATAAGTCCTAACATTTTTACACATTGTTTTTCTTAGCGAAGCATGTGTATAGATTTTTTGTCAAATTATATACAAATTTTGAACACTGATTGAATTTTGTGAAATTTAATCGTTAAGTTGAATAAAGACGTATAGCTAGGTGGTTGTAAACAATCAGTAAGAATCCCTGGGTCTACGTTTCGTGCCTATTGGCATTTGTCAGCAAAGCGTACTTGCAACCTCGAAGGAACCGTTTCTTGTTTGAAGATCTGAACCCAGGTCACCGAGCTTATCTGCCCGGGACATTATCTCTGAGCTGTCTAGGCTCACAACTGACTTCGTGTAGGACTGTAGTAGATATATTAGCTGTTCTTTAGACATTAGCTGGCGTCCGGTCCTTAGTGTTGGAACTGACTGAATTTTATTAATCAAGTTAGCAGTTATGACAATTATCACTAGGATCTATCATGAGGTTTAATGATAGAATCTATTAGCTCCAGATTCAAATACTTAGACTGTAGACTATTATGCTGTGTTTATGGTATGTGTTGATATGCACAATTTGGTTGCAAGTACTTCCTGTTGGATTTTTTGAAGAGGTGCTCACCAACTGAGCAATCAACCTCTCCGGATGCATTTTTCGGAGCAGTTTTGACTTATAACGTTAACAAGTGGCGAAGGGATCTCAAGAGAGTTTCGGATCACGTTTACTATTCGACTAATTTTGATAGGTTTCATCTATTAGAATTGGTGGATGGTGGCTAGCAGTGGAATCCAGGATGCGCATTTCGTCCTATTTGGGACTCGTCCCAAATAGGACGAAATGCGCATCCTGGATTCCACTGCTAGCCACCATCCACCAATTGTATACTAATTAAATACCCAGACATCGTCGAAGCATCTGCACAAGAAGCCGACATGTCAACCTGAGACCGAGCACTTCGGTCCAATCAATCGACGGGAAAATCAAAAATTCAATTCATCTATTAGAGTCTGTGACACTAACTAAGCAACATCAAAAACCTAAATATCACATTTTCTAAGTAAAATAAGGCTAACAGTGAACGGTTCCGTCGTGCCTTGACGCCTGGAGCAAAGCAAGTGGGCGTCTTAAGAGGCCACCTCCCTGTACCTTCAACATGAAGTCTGACGCATGTCAGGAGCTACTTTTTCATGGTTGCCAGGGTCCAAAATAGATTTCATATGTCTTTGGTGATTTCGGATTATACATCCCATGTACATCATAGCTTTGGATTCAGGGTTTTCCAGCTCCCCTAGGTACCTTTTCATTTACCCTTCCACTTTTTTGGGGAACATCCCCGTCGCTCTGGGGGGGGAGGTCACTGAATAGGACTTACTTCGTAGAGGCCACATGAGAGCATTTTGAAAGGAAAACCGAGTGTATTTGCTGTCTCACTAATATCCGTGGTCTCTCTCCGTCTTAGATATACAATTATTTTTAGCGCATTTGTAATGTATAATAATTGACCCTAAAATATAGATATCTATATCTTTATATTATTATTACTAATATTTTACAGGTACATTTAAGATTCGTAAACAAGAAGTCATTCGACTCGGTTTTGATCCGTGCATTAATCCAGGTGATCATGTCTACTTTTTAAATCCACAAACAAAACTTTATCAACGATTGAATCAACAATTGTTTGAAGATATTAATCATGGTAAATTTATGCTTTAAAAAAGCAAGAATAAATTCCATTTGTACACAGACATACACTCCCAAATTTTTGTTTATTAAATTTGTCAACTTATAAGTATATATTCACACTACGCACTATATTTAGAGATAAGCGGATATTTTATATTGGAGTGAGTGTGTCCCATGATTCATATTTACTGTCGTGCCAATTAATGCCTTTTCACTGATATCTACTATCTTGATACAAATGTAAAATTATTACACTGATGCTTATTCTTCACTTTCGTATTTGTGTTTTTTCTTCAGTCTTTTTTCTTTCGCCGTTTTTGATTGTGTGTGTGTTTGTTTTACACGAATAATTCCTTCTCAATCATGTTGGCTGCTTGTTCTCTCCTGGCGTTTGTTCTTCTTTGTGCTCCAGTCTACTTTGTGCTTTCCTGTTTTTATTGAGTAGTGGATAGTAGTAGTAGCAGTAGTAGTAGTGCCAGTTAATTGAGCTGTGGTTGTGCTTATGTTTCGTTTGCTTCTTATATTAATGTCTTACTTCTCGTCGTCTGTTGTCCTCTTTTCAAAACGAAAACAAACAAACCAACAAACGGTAGCAGCAAAATTAACGCATACATTCGTATACAATAAATATTTGGATGGAATAGTAATAAAAATAATAATAATAATAATGATAATTGATCGGAAGAATAATAAAAGAAAATAGTCTTTCTTAAACATTTATACTACTTTATTGTAAATTTATTCAGTATTCCAAAGTTTTACAACAATTAGATTAAATTATTATCCAGGGTTAATTAGTAAGTTTTTAAATTGGGCAAAAAGGGGAGACGAAACCTTCGGCTTTTTTGTTTTGCAGGCATATATATATATATATATATATATATATGCACACACATGTGTGTGTGTTTGTTTGTTTATTGTCAGCATATAGATAATTGCCAGGATTGTGATTGTTCTTCTTCTTATTATTATTATTCTTGTTTTGTTGACAAAAGCACCCACAATATATATTTTTGTATGTCACTTGATGATTACTGATCAGTATATTCGATTTAATTTCATTGTATATTTTCTTTCTTTGCAAATAACACCCTTCAAGGTGTACACTTTCTCTTTAGCGTTTCTTTTCTTTCTTTGTCTCTCTCTCTCTCTTATGAAGCTTAATCGTCAGTAGAGAAGTGTTTTTGCTAAATTAATTTTATTGTGTATTTTGTGTGTGATTTAAACAAATAAATGGAAATTAAAATAAAGATTGCATATAAGGAGAATAAATCGTTTGTTATTGTGCGTCTTCTTCTTCTGCTGCTGCTATTTTTTTCCTTCACGTTCCCCAGTGGAACATAGGGCTTCAAGCTAGTGGCTTGAAGTTTCTGTAGCAGTGTTTATTTTTACAGGATGTGGTTGCTAGCCTCATACCCAAACTTTCCCCTTTACCAGCATTATTTATGGCTTTGCGAGGTAAAGGAGTGCGTCTGTGGCCGGAGATCGAACCCCGGACCATGTGCATGGTCGGCGAGCGTCCTAACCGCTGTGCTACTGACGCACCATGCTGCTGCTGCGTACATTTAATTCTACGTATCCTGGATACGCTTAGTTCGCTTGATGAATATCTACAAAATAAGATGTAATTTGTCCGAGTTGTGTGATATATATATATGCACAGTACATTTTGAAAAATGTTTTCACGTAGGTATGCATTATAAGAGTTAATGTTGAATATAATAAAATTTTGGGATATGAGATTATTGAATATAAGGTCAAAAAAACATGATAACGCTCTGTTTAATGAAAACAAAACAGAGTTCAGGAAGGTGGCGCTCTTCGGGTAATTCATTTCCTCTAATTGTACAATTGCACTTATGCACAATATTTTTAATAAAAAAGAGGGGTAGTAACAAAAGTGATGAGTTGTCACAAACATGGTTGTTAATATTAGTCAGTGCATGAGAGCAGCTGATTAAGTGTAATGGAGTTGCGTAATAAGATAAGTATTGAATGAGTTGTAATCAGGATACACATAGAAACGAAAAAAAACACAGATTTATGTAAGAGTTCTAAGGAGTTAGAAAAACATACAAATAATAAATCTAGGTAGTGGAAATCGGGCTGTTCCAATGATAGTAGAAGCACTTAGATAAGTTTCTTTCTTATGCAGAGCTTCATTTTCTCTATATGAGTGTTTAGAGCATCAGGAATGCACTGTGAAGACACGAGAGCAAATTTTCTTTGACAGGTTGTTCTCCACTTTGTAGATTACTTTGAAGAAGGCGTTTGTTGGGATGCAATGGTGGTTACTGTTACTGAAAAGGTGTTCGATTATCACACCACTTATGGAGGCACTACTACATTCCTGCAACCATGAGGTGTGGTGGTCTTGAATCCTCTTGGATAGTATTCACGTCGAACTACCAATGTACCTGGTTCCACAGCAACAGGCGAACTGATATGTGCACATAGACGTGGTCAGATGCGAGATGTTTTCCATGAGGCTTCTGCAGACTAAGGATGACTGAGAAAAACTACTCTTAGCGTTGGTGGGGAGAATGCTTTCCTCAAAGATGCTGAAATTCTTCTCTTTAGGATATTGCAGCTTAAGTCTCCAGTGAAATCCAGTTTCATATAAAGTTTCTTTCTTGGAACAAGTAATGTTTCGTTCCTCTGAATTTTTGGCTTGATATTCTTGTCAATGAATATTGGTGGATATCCATTTTGGAATATCTAGTTCTGCCTGTAGGGTTTCAAGGCTAGAGATGCATTGGATCCGAGTGGTAAGAGGTTTGTTTAAATCTCTTTCGTCCAACAGACACCCACTTGTGGAAGCGTGTTAGTTGAGCGGTCCAAGTGAGTTTCCTATGGACTGGGCTTCTTAGGACCCCACCACATCAAGAAAGGGAATTTCGGATTCGTTCTCCATTTCTAGTGAATTTGATTTCCGAATAGCAGTCGCTAAATACTTGCAACAATTGAGTGGGGTCGCAACTATCGTCACAACTGATGAAAATGTTATCTACGTACCTTGTATACAGTTGTAAATTTTCAACCTGCAACCATGCGGCATAGTATTCTTGAACGCCTCCCTGAAAGTAATCTATAGAGTGAAGAGCAAACTGCTAGCGACAAAGCCTGTTCTCTTCTTTGCATAGCGGCAGCTTTACCCATTCAGTTAGAGCTATGCATACCAAAAGAATATTCACCTACTTCTACTAACATGACAATTGTCTTGTTGTTTTAAACCAGCTTGATCTTGTTTTTTTGTCTGTTTCTCAACTGTTTGTATATTTTGTATTTTCTTGGAACTCTTACGTAAGATTAGTTTTTCCGCGTGCATGCTGACTACAACTTATTCATTATTTTATTACACAATTGTAAGTTGATTAGTCAGACTACAACAATATAAATGGACAAATTATGTGTACGTCGGTGGCACAGCGGTTAGGACTCTCGCCAACCATGCACATGGTCCGAGGTTTGATCCCCTGCCGACGCACACTCGATATCTATGGTCGGCCTGCAAAATTTGGGCTACCGATATCCATGCTGAAAATTGCATACTTGTACCAAAAAGACGGTGTGGAATCAAGCTGTAATCAAAATAAAAAAAATAAATACTTGAATTAGTTGGCATTCACCGTTAAGTGATGTTATTTTCTCGTTACGGGATTACTGAGCCTCATTCCCCTCTCCCGAATATTCTTCAGTCAGCAGTCACTAAATATAAGACTTTCCTGTTTAATATAGATATTATCAGACTACACTTTATCTATGACAGTTTAGAAGTAATAAATGTATATGGATTTTACCATTGAGCTATTCGGGCTCGCGATTGACCTGCTGATTGGACACTAGTAACTAGTGTTATGCGTCTAATCTCAGAAGGGGCATGAAGTTCCTCCAAGGTTGCAGATACGGCTTGCTGACGAGTGCCAACTAGCACGAAACCTAGGTTCAAGGCTTCCTGGGTTTTGTAATATGCTTTTATTCGGTGTTTATCATTAAATTAATTAGTGTGCATCTCTGAAGAAATCACAAGAGTTCTAATTATGCCTTAGTCTTAAATATGCACGCTATATAATGTTTATAGCAAGTTATAGATTTTGTCAGTTTTTCCGTAAACGTACACTAGAGTCAATCGGTTTTGCCTTCCTACTTCATTTTATCTAATATATTTAAGTCATATAAATCTAGGCGATCAAATTGAATTCATTAGATAATAAGTAATATTCATTCCTTGTTTATACGACTGTTGAGTCAGTTGAATAAAACCACTGACCGTGAAATTATAGGTGTGGCTTATAATTAAATAAACTGACGTTTATATAATTTCTGGATTTTAGTTTATTCTTATTAATACTGTCGATTATATATATATATATATATATATATATATATAAAAAAATATATGCCTTAGTATTTTGTCTTCTCCTTGATATGTAGCATTTGATAACTATTGGTTTTGAAAATTACTATGAGTGCTAATGCAACTGAATATCTTTCATTGTATTGTTTAATACTGAAACACGTGAGACGGCTAGATAACATTTCAAATTACAGGTGTTCGTAATAAACCAAGAAAAGTCCCAAACTAAGACGAAACAGCTGTCTAGTACTCTGTGGTTCTCCAATGCGACTGCAACTGATGATGTCATCTCGCGAACAATCCTATAACCAATCTTACTGTGGTGAGAGCAGGCCGTGATAAAATATGTACAAGGCTGATTCAACAACCAATCCCAGCAGACTCAACGTGGCAAAATATGATTCGCAGATAGAGAACTCTATTTTTCGAGGAATCCCGAAACAACCAATCAGAAGCCTGCGTTTGTCTACTTGCATAAGCTATAATAATGTATGTGAAATATATATAAATACGTGTTGATTTTCGTAATAAAACGATCTGTTGCCCGGCCCTTGTCTTCTGTTGTTACATAACCCCTGCAAACTAACACCTGATAAATATGAATCACACATTTCATACAACTGGTCCCCTTGATTAGTTTGAACAAGACAAGAACGAACATATTTGCCTCCCATTTAATATTTACCTGAACGGGTTGTTGATAGGATTCAGTATAAAATAGAATATCATCCTTTCTCATGAATTGTGTGATTTATCTTGTGATGGAGTTACTAGGTTAACGTATCATTTCTCACTCATATTGTGATTTAGTATGTGATCAATTCATCGTCTTTTGTCTCACCTTGGTCTTTGTCGGATCGCCAACCAATCAGGATGATATTTACAGCCAATAAGAACAATCCATTCTCACGGTTGTGAGCCGACTTTATCATGGTAAAGAAAATGTATATCATGTGTTGTTTCTTAAACTATATATAGTATAATACAATATCTTACAGTCACAAGCCAGCTTTTACCTTTTGATATTTGTGTGGCTCAGTGACTCGGATGGTACAACGGACAAATAGACATATTAGCGTACCAGTCGAGTTCACTGGCCTTATAGCAATTAGCAGGCACAGACATAAAAAAGCAGCAACGGATTTATTCAGATCAGTTCAGTCATAACAAACTAGCAACGGATCAGTTCCGTTCGGTTATAACAGTTGTAGACATTGGTTCTCTATCCATAACTAAGTTTACAAGGGCTGTCTCTAGTCTGAAACGAGGCAAAGCAGCAGTACTTGATAGAAGGACTCCATAGGTGTTTAAAGACGGTGGTGATCAATTGTCGTTTAGGTTAGCTGAGGTATTAGGCAATGTTTGCGAATCACAGATGGTTCCATTATACTAGTGTAAGTCACTGACAATCTCAGTATGCAAGAAGGAAGGCAAGTCATCTTGTGGTAATCATGGAGGCGTTAGCTTGATTTATACGGCATCTAAAATTCTAGGCTTAATAGTCATGCATAGACCAAGTGGCTCTCGGGGAAAATAAACCTGAGAAAGCCGGTCAGGCTGTAGACCAGGAAGAGAGTGTATTGATCATATCTTCACCTTTCGACAGATTCTGGAACATAGGCATACTTACTGCCGTCCAACAATGGTCATATGTCTTGAATTGAAAGCGGCATTCGATTCCGTAGACCAAGGTACTGTGACAGTGTTTGGTCGTGAAGGGAATGTCGAGAAAATACATCGTACTGATCATGCAGCCAGATAAGAGTCTACGGAGAGTTGTAATCTGAAATGGTGACAATCCGTGGTATCCGTCAGGGATGTCCACTGTCCCCGTTTCTGTTTAATTTCACCATAGATGAGTAATGGAATTAACCCTAACTGACTTCAGAGACTGAAGGAAACAGTCTTCCTAAAGACTAACAAAATGC